ATTATCATAACCTTTCCTCATTACGATCGTATATTCACCCCACGCATCGGCCTGGTCGATCACTTGTGAATCCATCGCACTGCGACCGGTCAACCAGTACCCTGAGATCCGACATATACTCACCGCATCTGTCTCTACTATACGCGGTGCTCATGCACGTTCTCTCACTGTAGGGACTTATTTGCTCACATGCGATGAGAGGTAGCAGCTGATGAGAGCTCCTTAAATTTATGGATCCAATAAATCCTGCTGTTCTTGCAATTTACAAATAATCGACACCTCTCACGTAAGTGGGAGGTGTGTTCCTCGGTTTCTTCTACAGATGACTAATCCGCTACATGTGTGATCTGAGCCTAAGACTATTACGGTGCGCTAAATGTTGTTGTGGCTTGGAAGGTTGCCAAGTGTGTTTGGGTGGAGTGTTTCAATAGTGAATTGAGAATGAAACTGCAGTGACTGCTTCTTAACTTGACTTGTATGGTACTCTCGCATAATTTCTATCCTAGCTGGTGCGGTGGCGTTCCTGTGCGTGGTTAGGGTCGCGCTAGTCGCCTGTGTCACCCTCCTCCTCTGATTTTCTTTACTGGGTCATAAGCCCGTACCCACTTGGGGTAAGAAGGAGTGTGATAGACGCATTGCAAGTCTATTAGCATTTTAAAACAAGTCACGTAAAAGTCCTCGTTCCTGTACCACCATATTGTGCGGCACACGATGAACCTCGTCAAGCTCGACAACCGAACTGTTCCCACTCCAGATTATCAGGGTAGGGTTAGGTCAGGCTTGCCGCATGGATTAGTCATTTGCACATATCAGGTATATTCCTCCATAGGTAAACTACCTTGGGCTGGCCTAGTGCCCGAACGATCCGCGCCCGGGCTTGGAATTGAAAAACGATTGATTCAAAGGCATAATCACTAGAAGAAGATGCGATCACTGGAACAAGGACTTTATTTTCCTGACGTTTCGGAACACGTATCTTGACCATAATTAAACGAACCTCGTATGATAAATAAGAACAGAACAAGAGGATGCGATCACTGGAACAAGGACTTTATTTTCCTGACGTTTCGGATTCCGTCGGGGATCCTTAGTCATAGGTAATCGTAAACAGGTCTGAGACATGCCCTTATCTGGGCATAATCACTGTCTAGGATATGTTCGGGGACAAAAACGTCGGCCACAATTTTCTTTTGACCATGCCCAGGTACTTCTCAAGCCTCTGATTTCCGCATTTTTATGCTGGCAAGACTTATGCCTTTTTAATTGACGGCACTTTACTGATCAGACGCTTTCTTCTACACTGTGATTTGGCTGCAACTGGATTCGCTGTGATGTCGTCGATAAATAACAAAGTAAAATGACTTGCGTGCTTCGACCTTGAGCCACTTATTATTCATTAGTCCGTTGTAGTCAAAAGATCGCTCGAAGTGTTATAACATTACCGCTACCTAAATAACTCCGACGACTCTTTTCTTGAATTAAGGAAAACAGTTTGACGAGGTCCTTACCCCATCTTGTCCAGGACAAAGACCTGCAAAATGAAAGCATACCGTGGAGGGGAAGAAGTATTCTCTCCTCGGCCTTCCCAAATTTTCCAGAGCTGAACATTGGAGATACGGTGTTATTCCGTCCGGTGATACCTCGCGCGGATCTCCAGTTAACCTCCATATCTCTGTAGGTTCCGCTATCTGGCCTCGATTTTCTTTAACATGATACAAATTAAGCAGAACAGGTTGGCAGACAGGACAGAAACGACTGTGGTGGGGCTTGTTTGCGCCTGGGCTACATCTTTTAGCTACGCACACACCAACCGCAAGCCATAGCCAATGGCACTTGTAAATCCTCGCGTCTCTCAGCCTGTCTACAGATAGGTA